AAACAAGCCATAAATTAAATATGTTAGTTATCAACTTATTGTCGTAGTATCCCTTGTTTATGAGCTGGTGACCTAATGATGCAGATGATTTATGTTTTAGAACAATGAACCTATGAATAGTAAAGCTAGAGAGATTTGTAGTTGTACAGAATATGGTGAAAAATATGGTCTTCATCACTTGATGCTCTAGGGCTCTACATTTTTAGTAAATTAAATATAAGACTTAATTAATTAATTTGAGTAAATTAAATATATCAGTTAAATTAGTTAATACAATAATTTTTTTAAAACATTCTATTCATTTTTCTTATTCTCTTTCTCCCTCTCCTACTTGATTATTATATTGTTAAGGAAATATCAATAGGATTAATTTAAAAAAATTAATAAATATTTGAAATATGTTTTACATGTATGACTAACATCAACTCCCTAATTAGATCATACCTTAAGGATATGAGGAGTATTAGATATAATTTTTCAAGGCCTTCTAGTTTTAGGTGGAAGTGGCACCAAAAAAAAAAAAAAATTATGGTATAAACAATCTCAGAAGTTGTTTAGAAATCATAAATAGTATTTGTATTGTGAATAATTTGATTTATCTCAAGCTTTGTGTATTGTTTGATTTTCAATTTTCTCCATTTTCTGTCTGCATTTAATATTGGGATAATCCCAAATAAATCTAGCCAAATATCTAAATCCAAATTCAGGCCTTTATGTTCAACAAATCATTAATCACACAATAAGATCAAATTAAGAATTTCTGAATGTTGTTAAATAACAAGAACGTCCCTCTCTAATTAAAAAAAAATGATTATTTTACCCCTTCCAAGTGATCCTCATCTTTTATGATCATTTTTTGAGTAAAAAAAAACATATAAATAGTTTTATATTGTTTAAAATTTGTATATACAACCAAAACCATTTAAATATTTTGATAAAAATATTAAATTAGAAATATAAGTATCCTTTAAATAAATATTTTTTATTTTCATTTCTTATCATCTACATTAGTTTTATTTATTAGCAATGTTGGATTCAACAAATTATAACAATTTAATATTAAATATTTTTTGTAGTTAAAATATTTTAAATATCAAAATAAATATTTACAAATTAAAAATAAAAATATTTATTTAAAGTCTACTTATATTGTAATTTAAAATGTTTTGGTAAATATTTTGACCGTTTTAGTTATATATACATTTCAAACACTGAAAAATCATTTATGTGTTTTTTGTCTAAATACTAATAATAAGAGATGATAAACCACTTGGAAGGGATGATAAACCCCTTGGGAAGGATAAAATAATCAATTTTTATTTTTAATTAAAGAGAGACATTCTGGTCATTCAACAACATTCAAAAATTTCTAATTAGGTATCATATCCTGATGAAGAATTTATTAAAAATGTAGGCGAGGAATGAATTTGGATTGCTTCCTATATAGTTTCAAATCATAATTTTTTATTTCTATATTATCATTTGGCTTGAGCTAATGTCATTTAGTATAAGGACCAAAAATCAAAATTCGTTTGGTCCCTGTTGTGTTGGGATGATCTCTTTTCATTCTTTTCCCTATTAAAAGTCACTCATGTTTAAACTTAACTCTAACTATGGTGATATAGTGAAAACAGAAAGCTGATCATTGACGACGTTAAGCCTTCTTAATAAGTAAGCAGACAACTGGGTTTGGTGAACACATTTTTAACAAGTTTTGATTTTAATTATTGTCTTTTTTATGAGTTTTAGTTTTGGTTCTCGTACTTAATGGCACTAGTCAAGTTGGCATTTTTAAGCTCATACTAAGTCCTTAAGAAAAATCACGATTTAAAACTATAAGAACTAAAAATATAAAGAGTATTATGTTAAGAGATTGACTAGGATTTCACAAGACCTTGGCTTCTTGCAAATCTGATTTTGAGTTTAGCATTCTTGAAATTGAGATGGATATACTATCTGAATTCATGAACTTTCGGTGAGGGGAGGCAATGGAAGATGGTGGGTAGGGTTATGTTGTCATAAAAATGTGTTTTTCTTCAAGTTCTTTGGTGAGCAAGAATAATATTATTTGATAATATTAAAAGAAAAAGATGTCAAAAAAAAAACCTCTAAAATTTTAAAATAAAAAAGTTCGATTTTGCAAAATAAAAAAATGTTCGATTTATCCTGTAAAATTTTAAAATATATAACTTTGAAATTTATATTTTTTTTTGATGCTCCCTGATAAAAATATACTCCCTCGGTTTTAAATATAAGACCCATTTTGTAGTGTAAATTACACTATAAAATGGGCGTCTTATATTTAGGACCGGAGGGAGTAACAAATATTATAAGATTGATTAGGATTTGCAAGATCTTGGCTTATTACAAACATCATCGTCATAAGTAAATGTAGAATTTTGCATAAGAAGATTTTCAAAAATACAGTAACTAGGACCCCACCACCCATCATTAGAATATAGTTCTTAGACTGACTTGTTCATTAAAAAAATATTTTGATGGGATTCTTCGAATTTTTCAAATTAAAAGACAGAGTGGAACCTACGTTTACTTGTTATATGTGCAAAAACTCCTGTTCAGGTCTCATAATTTTTTACGAAGACTTTTAATTCCTCCCTTGCATGTAATTATTGAGCAAAAAATAATTTGTTCAACGTCTCTGCAACATGAAGATCTGAAATGAAAACTCAAAGAACTCAAAATGTTCGATTTAGCAAGATTGTTGCTTCCGTTGGCTCTCCCATTTAACTTAGCTGTGGATTCTTCTAGTCCCATTATTAAAGTATAATAAACAAGACTTATTTCTAATTTTGAAATTTATATATATTTTTTGGGGCTTGTTCCCTGATGAGAACATGACAAATATTATAAGATTGACTTGGATTTGCAAGATGTTGGCTTTTGACAAACCTCGTCATCATAAGGAAATGTATAATTTGTATGAGAAGATTTTCAAAAAGACAGTAACTAAGACCCACCACCCATCATTAAAATACAGTTCTTAGACTGACTTGTTCATTAAAATAATATTTTGATGGGATTCTTCGAATTTTCCAAATTAAAAGACAGAGTGGAACCTACGTTTACGTGTTCTATGTGCAAGAACTCCTGTTCAAGTCTCATGTTTTTTGGCAAAGACTTTTAATTCCCCCCTTGCATGTAATTATTGAGCAAAAAATAATTTGTTCAACGTCTCTGCAACATGAAGATCTGAAATGAAAACTCAAAGAACTCAAAATGTTCGATTTAGCAAGATTGTTGCTTCCGTTGGCTCTCCCATTTAACTCAACTGTGGATTCTTCTAGTCCCATTATTAAAGTATAATAAACAAGACTTATTTATAATTTTGAAATTCATATATTTTTTTGGGGCTTGCTCCCTGATAAGAACATAACAAATATTATAAGATTGACTAGGATTTGCAAGACCTTGGCTTTGGACAAACTTCGTCGTCATAAGGAAATGTAGAATTTGTATGAGAAGATTTTCATAAAGACAGCAACTAAGACCCCACCACCCATCATTAAAATAACATTACATGCAATATGGTTCTTTGACTGACTTGTTCATTAAAATGATATGTTGATGGGATTCTTTGAATTTTCCAAAAGACATAATGGAACCTACATTTGCATGTTATATGTGCAAAAACTCCTGTTCAAGTCTCATATTTTTTGACTAAGACTTTTAATTCCTCCCGTGCATGTAATTATTGAGCAAAAAATAATTTGTTCAATGTCTCTGCAACATGAAGATCTGATATGAAAACTCAAAGAAATCAAAATGTTCTATTTAGCAAGATTGTCGCTTCCGTTGGCTTTCCCATTTAGCTCAGTTGCGGATTCTTCTAGTCCCATTATTAAAGTATAATAAACAAGAGTTATTTATAATTTTGAAATTTATATTTTTTTTGGGGGGCTTGCTCCTTGATAAGAACATAGCAAATATTATAAGATTGACTAGGATTTGCAAGACCTTGGCTTTGGACAAACTTTGTCGTCATAAGGAAATGTAGAATTTTGTATGAGGTGATTTTCAAAAAGACAGTAGCTAAAATCCCACCACCCATCATTTTCGGGCCTGTTTGGGATAGCTTATAAGTAGTTTTTTAATCATAATTTATGGAATATGAGATAAATATGTGAGAGGAGTTTTGTCTTAGTTTACATTAAACTTGTTTATAAGTAATTTCAATCATGATGGCAAACAGGGTCAATATTAGGTGCAATATGGTTCTTAGACTAATTTGTCCATTAAAATAATATGTTGATGGGATTCTTTGAATTTTCCAAATGACAGAGTGGGACCTGTGTTTGCGTGTTATATGTGCAAAAACTCTTGTTCAAGTCTCTTTTTTTTTTTACTTAGACTTTTAATTGCTCCCGTGCATGTAATTATTGAGCAAAAAATAATTTAACTTGTTATTATTATTATTAAAACTATGGGAGAATCTGATGAAGTTCATAATTGTGTTATTTCATTTGTATGCATGAATCCATCTATTATTCTTTTTTTAGAGAATCGCCAATTCACAAAATGCTTATGTTCTTTATGTAGGATTGGACTTGGCTGTTCAACGAATGAGCACATGAAAGAACCAAATGGTTTAAAAGCCATAAAAATTCAATTACAATAATAAAAAAATAAATTACTGTGATTTTTTTTAATAATAACATCGCATATTAACGAACACAATTTTCAGCGCTGCAACAAGGATTACTTCTTTTTCTTTTTTCCTAATATGGGAGAATCTGGTAAAGTCAATCTATTAATAAAATTTGTAAATTAACACACAAAACCCCTAAAACAATTAAGTATACGAGGTAGCAATTGCTTTTAAACAAAAATAAATAAACTAGAAAATTAATACTAGGCTGAAGCAGCGGGCAATGTTCTACTGACTTTGACTTTGAAACTATTTAAATTAAGATCAAGGAATTACAAGTCTGCATATCTTTGCCTTACAAAGCGCTCTAGTAGATTTTGAGTTTCTCAACAAAATGAAGCCTTTTTCTCCCTTGTTTCTTTCATTTTGGTCCCAATGCCTTCAATTGTTTCTCTTCTTCACTTTGATCTTTCGACCTTGCCTAGTAACTTCTTCATGGGATAATGAGACTGATCATTTGTCCTTGCTCAAATTCAAGGAATCAATATCCAGTGATCCAAGTCATATATTGGACTCTTGGAATTTTTCTACACACTTCTGCAACTGGCATGGCATCACTTGTGGCAATGAGCCTCGCAGAGTTACACGGTTGGTATTAGAAGGATATCAATTGAGTGGTTCTATATCACCTTTCATAGGCAATCTCTCTTTCCTTAGAACTATCATTCTTCGAAACAACAGTTTCTTCGGAGAAATCCCACAGGATTTGGGTCGTTTGTTCCGGCTCCGGTTACTTTCTTTCCTCAATAATACATTGACCGGAAAATTTCCTGTCAACATCACGAGTTGCTCTAAACTCAGGTACTTATCATTTGGTAGAAATAATCTTGCTGGCAAAATACCCATGGAGATTGGCTATCTCCATAACCTGGAACGGTTATATTTACTTGAAAACAATTTTATTGGGCAAATCCCAATGTCCATGTGGAATTTGTCTTCCCTTACAGTTATTTATTTTTCTATGAATAATCTGGAGGGGAATATACCTAAAGAAATAGGACGCTTGGAAAATTTGATAGCATTTTTATTAGATGTAAACAAGCTTTCTGGGCCAATTCCTTCCTCTCTATACAATTTGTCATCCCTCACCCATATTGGACTTAATGGCAATCACTGTAATGGCTCCCTCCCATCCAACATGTTCAATAGCCTCCCTAATCTCCAAGTTTTGACACTTGGAGTAAATCAAATCTCAGGTCCTATCCCAGCATCCTTAGCAAACACATCTAAGCTTGAAATAATATCTGTGGGAGACAATAGCTTTTCAGGGCTAATTCCAAATCTTGAAAAATTGCATGACCTTTCATTTCTGGAGTTGTCTTTTAATAATTTGGGAAGTAATTCTTCTAAAGATTGGGAGTTTCTATATTCCTTGAGCAATTGCAGTAAATTGCGACAATTAGTAATACCCGGCAACAACTTGGGGGGCCATTTACCTGATGCCATTGGCAATTTGTCCACCCAACTCACAATGCTTGTTCTTGGTTCTAATCAAATATTTGGCAAAATCCCTGCTTCATTAGGAAACCTTGTTGGCCTAACATCACTAAATATGGAGATGAATCATTTCACTGACTTCATCCCAACTACTTTTGGGAATTTTCAAAATATGCAATCTTTGGCTTTAGGGGGAAATAAATTTTCTGGAGAAATAAAACATTTCATAGGTAATCTCACTCAGTTATTTCTCCTAGATTTGTCGGGAAACATGTTCAAAGGAAAGGTTCCTCCAACTATTGGTAATTGTAAGAGTTTACAACGTCTTGATCTGTCACAAAACAATTTCAGTGGAGCCATACCAGTCCAGCTAATTACTCTTTCATCTCTATCAATTTTATTGAACTTGTCCCATAACTCTTTTGGTGGCAAAATTCCTAGTGAGGTTGGAAACTTAAAAAATATTGGTAAATTGGATGCCTCTCATAACCATATCTCTGGAAAAATTCCTCAAGCCATTGGAGATTGCCAAAGCTTAGAGTATCTCTTTTTGCAAGGAAATTTCTTTCAAGAAACCATCCCCTCATCTTTGGCTTCATTGAAAGCTCTAAGACATCTAGACTTGTCACAAAATAACCTGTCTGGATCAATTCCAAAAGGCCTGCAAGATATTGCTCTCTTGGGGTACCTAAATGTTTCCTTCAACATGCTTGATGGGGAAGTACCAAGCAAAGGCGTTTTCAGCAATGCAAGTGCAATATCAGTTTTGGGGAATAAGAAGCTTTGTGGAGGCATATCAAAGTTGGAGCTGCCACCATGCCCTCTCAAATCTACTGGACAACGAAAGCATCTAAATTTCCAGTTGTTCATATCAATATGTTGTGTGGTTGCTTTTTTGCTTCTGGCATCTGTTGTTGCTATTTATCATGGGAAAAAAAGAAGCAAGAAATCTTCTTCAAATTCAGCAACAATTGACATGATTTCCAAAGTATCATATCAAAGTTTGCATAATGCCACAGATGGATTCTCTATCAACAACTTGATAGGGTCAGGGAGCTCTGGCTCTGTATACAAGGGAAGTTTTGAATCCAATGAAGTTGTTGCGATAAAGGTCATCAACTTTCAAAAAAAGGGAGCTCACAAGAGTTTTGTGTCTGAATGTAATGCACTTAGAAATGCAAAGCATAGAAATCTAGTAAAAGTTATAACATGCTGCTCTGGCATAGATTACAAGGGCCATGAATTTAAGGCTCTAGTGTATAAGTATATGGTGAATGGAAGCTTGGAAAATTGGTTGCATCCTAGAACAGAGAATCTAGATCATCCAAGACTTTTGCTCCTTGATCAAATACTAGATATTCTTATCGACATTGTGTCTGCATTAAACTATCTTCATAATGAATACGGGCAACCTCTAATTCATTGTGATTTGAAGCCCAGCAATGTTCTTCTTGATGGCAACATGGTTGCTCATTTGAGTGACTTTGGATTGGCAAGACTGCTATCAACTGTTGAAACCATCTCTAATGAGCAAAGCAGCACAATTGGAATAAAGGGTACTATTGGCTATGTTCCTCCAGGTATCATTTAATGAAACTTTTTTACTATAAGGTCATGCAATCCATTACGTTTTCTAATTCAATTTTTTTTTTCATTTTCATCCAAATGATCATATATATAATTAAGAGGATTGATATGTTTACAATGTTTCAGAATATGGAATAGGTTCTGAGGTATCAACACAAGGTGACATGTATAGCTTTGGCATTCTCGTCTTAGAGATGTTGACTAAAAGAAGACCCACTGGAGAAATGTTTAAAGATGGTCACAATCTTCAAACATATGTGAAAAATGCATTTCCAAAGAAGCTTTTGGAAGTTGTAAGCCCAACTATTTTTCCACAAGAATTAGAAGAAGCAGTGGTAGCATCAGGAGACATATCGGAGAACACGATGCAAATCCCAAGTAATGTTGAGAAATGCTTGCATTGTTTGTTTATGATTGGGCTTACATGTTCAAAAGAATCACCTCATGAAAGGATGAGTGTAATTGATGTCGCAAGGGAACTAAATTCCGTCAAAAGCTTTTTTCCTTTATGGTGAGTACAACATCGTCTAAATATAATACTTTTGGTTTGATTTGATTTGCACACATAAAAACCAATTTGATTTTCTTATTTAATATTTTATTTTTGCTGCATCTCATTTTTGGATTTGTTGTTGCAGGTAAGGGAATCGTGTCTGTTCAATTTCCTTGAAATAATCAATCTGTGATTGGGATGATCCTAAAGTTGTTAGCTTAGGCATCTTTATTTTGTGTTGATTTGTGATATGTCTGCATGTTTTGTGATATAAAGGTAGATCATCGTAATGTGTACTTTATGTTTATGTTCTTATTATTTTTATGGGGTTTAGACTTGAGAGCAAATCGTCCTTTTGTTTTTTTTTGGGTTAAAAATATGTTCATACATGATTTTTAATGGTTGCTTTTATTTTTCAAAAGTGATGCTTCTCATCAACGAGATCGAGGATAGGATCTCATACAAGTAAAATTGAAAGCGTCCATTTTTCACCTCGTTCACTTTAAGAACCTCTTTGTTCAAGTGACAACTAACAATAGTTCACTGATACTCAAATTTAAAACCATATAATTTTCATGAAAAACTTAAAATTATTGTATAATAAATAAATGATAAAGGAAAAATTGTTTAAGTACTTGCCAATATAACTATTGGACCAACCACCTCCAATCCAAAAAATAGTCATCTTTTTTTTTTGGGGGGGGGGAGAGATTGCAAATTTTGCAATAAATTATTTGTCTTGCTTATTCTCATTAGATCATACCACCATATTATGAGTTGGGGTGAAGTTCAAGAGGAGGTAATTTGTTTAATTTGAATAGTTTTTTTTTTTTTGCCGACGATTTTGATTAGCTATTATATTTCATTAGAGAAGAGATATTGGAGGGCATTGAATATCTTCATTGGCTAAATATAATCGCTGCACAAATTAATATAATTAAAAGGTTAATAATCTGGGAAGTCCAATATGAGAGTACATATGATAAGTTAACATAAATTAGCTCAAACCATGTTATAAGTTACCCAAATGCAATTTTAAAGCCTTAAACTTTAAAAGTTCTCCAACACCTGCATTTTTTTCTTGGTCTGGGTCTATCACCAATGTTTAGCAACATCTAGGCCTCTTGCCAAATGCCCATACCTTTAGCTTTAGCCTACGAACTTCTTTAGAATATGTTGTGATCAAAGCAAAGAAATATATTTCATTCATATAGATAAATTTATTTAAAAAAATTATAAAAAAACATATGGCAAATAATCCATTTTTATTAATTATTTTATGTAATTACCTTTATCATATTTTTCCAATAATTGCTGCAAATATATCTAAATAATATTGCAAAACAATTCCTAAAATGAATATAAAATTATATAATAAAATAAGGATTCATTAATAGCAATAGTCACATCACTTCACTTGTATTCAGAGCTAAACCTATTAGTTTTCATGAAAAACTTTAATTTGTTATTTGAGCAAACAAATGTAAAAGAATATATTTTTGAAATACTTACCAATATACATCTTTCAATACGAGCACCTTCATCCCCAAAATCAATCACCTTCAATTTTAAATTACAAGTTTATGCAATAAATTACTTCTTATGATTCAGAATACTATGCCTTAACAAGATAATAAGCCATTTTACAATCATTCGGGTATAGGAACATGCGTTTCATTTTTCAAAAATTATAGCAAACATCACAAAACACCTATACAGGAGTCATTGTTATGTTTAATCAGCTTATTAAAGTAAATTATATCGTTTACCAATATTATTTTTTCATATAATATAACTTCAAATTTATTTCAACAAGATGTTTCTGTTTTAAAAAATTCAGTGAGTATTTGAGTTAATATATAAATATGCCTAAATATAATTAGGTTTTGTTGTGATGGGTCTCCCAATCCGTCAGTTGTGTGGATGAGACGAGCATAGAGGCTGCCACAAATCTGTTGCGGCTCTCTCTCTTCCTTCTCAAACTTGAGTCGTCCATTCCACTAATTTTTTTTTTTTAAATTTTAAAGGAAGGCCTTACACACTTGTATTTTCAAAGGTAAGTGTATTATGATCTTGTCACAAGAAAAATATAAATACAGATATTGATTAAAAATAATGTCTCCTTTCATTGACATAAACAAATTTTAGAAATCATTTCTACTTCAACTTCCATTAAAAGCTCTTCCGTGATACCAAATAGGGCACTAATAAATTATCATCAATTCCTCCAAAGTGGCAAAAGTCTGAAGCTGGATCGGGACTCATTAATTATTCTAGGGTTTGAAATAGGAAATGTGCTAATTATTGGCGGCAATAGTGAATAATTGTATGGTTTCAGTCGCGTGGTAAGGACACCGTTCTTAAGAGATATTTCGCAGCCCCTCTGTAACTAGGAAGCAGTACTTCCTAGGATTAAATGAACTCCTCTTGCAAGACAAGAAGGTGACAAAACAACAAAAAGAAATTAACACAGAACAGTGCAAGAGTGCAAAAGGAAGAGGAAGCCAATGATCAACTACATGTTTCATGCTTCCTCGACATCACACCTTTATATTGAGGCGAACAAACAAAAATGACTGAAGAACATGCCCCTCCGTTCCACCAAACAGGCACGACGGAAATGACGCTTGCTTTCATTGAAGGCGGAATGATTTAAGGAGAATTACAATGAGGTCTCAAAGAAGAAAAATAATTACAAAATAAGTCCCAGAACACTAAAAAAAAAAGGGGTAACTTGTAGAGGTTACAAAGATGATTTGTAGCGGTTTTAACTGCTACAAGTAAAACTTGTAGTGGTTCTGACAATCGCCACAAAAGCTATCGATGCAAAGGGATTTGTAGTGGTTAAGATGAACCGTAGCGCATGATACCAAAACCGCTACAGTATTTGTAGCTACTAATAACATGATGAATGAGATCACTTTGAGACAGTTTGTAGCGGTCAAAAAACTGCTACACATGCATGTGGGAAGGCGGAAAATGAAATTTGAAATTTTGTAGTGATTAACGAAACCGCTACTAAGTGTAGGCAAACGATTTCATTTGGCAGGAATCAAAAATTAAATTTGGCGGCAAAATTTGTAGCAGTTATATAACTACTGCAAATGGTAAAATTTTCAAAAAATGGCACCACCCAGATGATTTTGCGGCGGTTATAAACAATTGTGAATGTGAAAATATTATTTAATTTTATTTTTTTGTAGTGGTTTTATAACCGCTTCAAATGTTATGTTGAAATTAAAAAAAAAGAAATTAGTCAAATTTTGAAGATAAAATATAATAAATTAAATATGATTTGCAATTATAATTTTGAAATTAAATGTGAAATCAAATTGTTAATTAAATTTTATTCAAATTTTTGTTATATAAGGAAATTTTACTAATATTTTAAGTATTAAATAAATATTATTCGAAGATCTACAATTTTATAATTATAAACAAAAAAAAATTTGAAATGTTATTTATGAATATAAGAAATAAATTAGAAAGAGTAGAAAATAAAAGTAAATAAATCCTGCATGAAAAAAAAAATATTAGTGAATTAAAATTAAATAATATGAGAAAATAAAAGTAAATAAACAATTAAAAAAACTTACAATTTAAAAATGGGAGGAGGAATATCAGAGGAGAGAATGAGAGATTTTTAGATGAGAGAAATCAAAGGAGAGCAGGAGAGGTGGAGGATGTGTGAAAAATGAGAAGGAGAGCGGGGGTATTTATAGAGGACCGGTAACATTTGTCGTGGTTTAATTCATTTTGTAGCAGTTTATTTGCATTTTGTAGCTATTATAAAACCGCTACAAATATTAAAATTTTGCAAAAAAAATTACTAATTTTGAAAAAATGGTTTGGAATGAATTGTTAAAAATTTAGTCTTCATCACCTTGCCTGAAAGGAGATATATAAAGTCAGATAATGAGAAATAATTATAACACACATAAATTTAAATTAAAACATATATTGTTAATTAATGTAACAAAAATGAACCAAAATTATATGTAAAAAAAACCTAACAATTGGTAAATTGTCATCTCCTTCGGAGAAGAAATTTTCAAAGTTTGTTGGTTGGAAGGGTTTACTATCATAAATGATGTCATCACCATCATTACCCATGTCATAAAGATCTCACGGCTTGAGGTGAACCACTATACTCTAATCTTTATGTTTCTCGTCCATGACATAATAAACCTAGTGTGCCTTAGAGGCAAGAATGTATGGTTTATGATCTTCAAATTCTCCTGTATGAATAAGCCTGGAGAAATTAACAAATGTGATGCCCAATTCGTTAGTAGTAAGTCCATATGAAGTTGTCGTATTTGCCCAGTAACACTTGAACAGAGTGACCGTGAAAATTCCTTGATAATTTAACTCAATAATATCAATTAGCTTTCCATAGTAAGGAATGCCTCCAAATTGCATGTCACTGTCACTGGTACTAGCATAACTCCTCATTCCAAAGGTGCCAAAAACTCCAGAGTTTTGTGTGAGCAAACCCTGATCGCATGCTATTGTACGGAACTTGAACCCATTAAAATTATGCAGTAAACCTTCTGGCATCATCAAACGGACCATATGCAAGACTTTTGAGTTTAGCTATGTGGGGATTGTTGTCATTACATATTCAACATGCAAACCAACTCAGAAATTTTCTATGGACTCTCTTGTCAACCTCAATGGATGTTTGTGAATGAACCTATAGCTGTTGCTTGACATATCTTCTAAATTCCCTATCGTGTTATTTGTTAGAGAAGGAAATGATAAAGAAATTTTAAACATAAAAAAGAAAATCAGTGTTCAACTTACTGGAGAAAAGGTTTAACATGAGTGCAATTTATCAAGACATGTCTGTATGCTTGTAACTTCTCAGTAGGAGTCAGTTTGAAGTATTCAAATGCTTCAACTAGTTTCTCAACAGGAGGGAAGAAGTCACTCGAATTGGAAGGACCTGATGGACAATCATCAATGTGTGGGGGGACGATTGAAATTTGTCTTGATGTCATCAAAGTATCTGGAACAGAAAGTTAGGACTTCATCTCTAGCATAACTTTTTGCTATTGACCCCTTTGGCCACGCTTTATTCTTGACATAGGATTTTAATTTTCCTAAATATCTGCATGTTTAATTAATTAAGATTAATACTTGCTCATAA